GCCCTGTCGACAAGGTGACAAATGTGCTCTAAGTTACCCAATTGTTCAAGGCACAATGTAGTCACGATACCAGCAGTTGCCCATGTCATCCACAGCAAAGGCTTGCTGTGATTTAGCAGGAGGTCTGTATTTCCAAGCGTTTAAAATAGCTTAGAGTCTCATTTAACTATTTATAAATATTAACGGAATGCTGGGTCTTTATAAGTGAAGTGTACTATAGGAATGCCGGCATAACAAATTTGCACCGATATCGTTCTGAGAAAAAAATTTTTGCCAAGACTTCGACTGATACAAGTTGGAATGACGTTCAAAATGAGATGAACAATTAATAGAACAGCTGCCCTAACTATTTTTGGCAATCATTCAAAAGAAGTACAATTATGCTCTTTTTTGAAAGTAGAATGCAGAAACTATTTAAAGAGATATGGCAAATATTACAAAATCTGTACAAAAAAGAATTAGACAGTCATAATTTTAAGTTTACAAAGCAAACAATATTTCATCAGTATAACAAAATAAACAGACCAAAAAGGCGGCAAAGTTTGAGCCTAAGTTTTAAAAAAATTGATCAAGGAATATTTCAACTTCGTTAAACAATTTAATATAACAGAATAAAGTAAGATAAAAAACCATCAACAAGAAAACACCATAAATTTTCCCTAAAAAGTTAGCAACATAATATTAATGCTTAGAGATTTGGATATTAAACTAACAAATAAAAATATAATAACACAGGCTACGCTGATTCCTTCTGTTTTTTTGCAAGATTTTCTGCTAATTTGTCCATAAACGCAAAGGTATTCAAGTAATCAGATGGAGTAGTCCTGCAAAAATCAAGATCTTCTAGCAAAACAACGCCGAAAGCCAAAATAAGCTATAAAAATTATGAGCCCAACGTCCACGAACAAGAAAATGCTAATTTTGCCAAAGAGGTGCGAACTTACTTGTCCATCCCTTTAATACAGATAGCTAAATCTTTTGTCATGTAACCAGCTTCAATCGTTTCTACGCAAACTTCTTCCAGATTACTAGCAAATTTTTGAAGTTTCGCGTTACTGTCCAACTTTCCACGATGCGAAAGACCCCGTGTCCAAGCGAAAATAGAGGCTAGAAGGAAAAAAAATATATTACACGACCTAAAAAACATTATTACTATGATTATTTGTAGCATAAACAGCGATGTATCCTTATCAGAGCAATGCGCACCGATCGGATTCGTTGACGTTTCCATGCCTTTCTGATACAGTCGAAAATGACGAGTAACTGTACCATGTGCAGCTTCTGCTTCTACAGTTTTTCCATCCGGACAAACTAACACAGACGTCATAAGACCCAATGAACCGTAACCTAAATCACAACAAACGACATCTCACAGTGCTCAAATTGGTTGAAAAATAGGCTACTTTTATACCCTGTGCGACAGAATCTGACTGTACATCACCGTCATAGTTCTTACATGCCCAAACAAAACCACCTGAACTTTTCATAGCCTGAGCAACCATATCATCGATTAAACGATGCTCGTACC